TATTATACAGGATTTATATAGCGCCAACAGTTTGCACAGCGCTTACAATATAACAGGAGACAATACAGTTCAATACAAGAGGGATACAAGAGGGTTAGGAGGGCCCTGCTCCTTAGAGCTTACAATCTAAGAGGTATGTGAAAGACCAAGATGTACTAGACCACTGGTACTTGCCAGTTCACCAAAATGTAGCGTGGCACTAGTACTGGCACTCTGCTGCATATGAGAGTCATCAAAATTTACCGGCAAGTGTTAACAGAGATCAGGTCTGATTCTGCCAACACTGCGGTTTTGTGTGCAGTGTATCAAGTGATAGTGACTTACTGACACTGCACTTGCTAGGGGAGAAGGGGGGGGGTAAGCGTAGGGGCTAAACACAGGTGCTGGGGCTGATTCCGCTAACGCTGCAATTTTGGGGACACTATACTGATGTGAACACTGGTATAGTGCTGATCTGATCAAAGATATTGATCCGTTCAGACACTATACTAGCAATCGAGGTTTATTGTGTATGAGCATGTTCCTGGCAATCAAGGGTTTAAATGTGATGACTGGTATACTGACGGGCAATCTGACGCTATCTGGGAGGGGTGTTAAAACCACAGGAGCGTGAATCTCATATATATATATATGATTTTGCACACCCGTGCCGCCCTGTAGCAGTATTTCTGCTATAGGGAGGTCAGGAAGCGGTTACAGAACTGGTTTGTTATGGCGCTGTGTCATTTTAACTGACAATTGCGCGGTCATGCAACGCTGCACCAAAATTACATTTACATCCTTTTTTCCCCACGAATTGGGCTTTCTTTCGGTGGTATTTGATCGCCTGTGCGGTTTTTATTTTTTGTGCTATAAAAAAAAATGCAGACAATTTTGAGAAAAAAAAACAATATTTTGGACTTTTTGCTATAAAACATGTCCAGTAAAAAAATTTAAAAATCAAATTTCATCAATTTAGGCCAAAATGTATTCTGCGACATGTCTGCTATAAAAAAATTCCAATACGTGTAAATTAATTGGTTTACATGAAAGTTTATAGCATTTACAAATGGCGGTATAGTTACTGGATTTTTTGTTTGTATAATAATGACGACCAGCGACTTATGTCGGCGATCAGCGACTTATGGCGGGACTGCGGTGGACATTCTGACCAATACAGTGATCATTGCAAAAAAAAAAAAACTGTACTAATGACACTGGGAAGGAAGGGGTTAACATTTGGAGGCAATGAAAGGGTTAACTGTGTGAGGGGAGTGTTTTACTAGGGGGCGGGGGTGTGTACTTCACTGTTAAACACTGTCCCGGAAGGCTGAGCTCAGCAATCCCGAAACAGTGTGCTGCAAATTGACAGGGAGGAGAGCTCCATTGAAAACAATGCAGCCTTCCTCCCTGTCAGTGTTTTCCGGCAATCGCTGGGCTCCGGCGGGTAATCACCGGCCCGGGACCCAGTGATTTGACACCCGCGGCCACAATCGGTGCTGCGGGTAGGGCGGTCGCGCGCCTCGCGTGTGCCCCCTACCCTGAAATGCAGGATCACGTTTATATACGGATCCTGCGCACAGGGGCAGCCTTGTAGCAGTATATGTACTGCGGGCGGTCACCTAGTGGTTAAAGTTCATGTGCGTGTAACGGAAGGCATCCCAATACTTTTGGCAATATACTGTATTTTTCGCTCCATAAGATGCACTTTTTCCCCCCAAAAAAGGGGGGAAAATGTCAGTGCGTCTTATGGAGTGGCCGGTCCGGTATTTCTGCCGCCACCATGTCATAATATTGGGCCGGCCGCTCAGCTCTTCTCTCCTGCAGGACCTTACCTGTTCCTTGCTCCAGCGCTGTAGTCTTCCTGTGCTGGCTTCTGTGACAGCCGGGTGCCTGCTGTGCATGCGCGAGAAGCGCTGCGCTTTGTGAATGGTCCAGTGTCTTCTGGGACACATGGCAGGTCCCAGAAGGCGCTGGGCCATTCGCAAATCGCAGCGCTTCTCGTGCATGTGCAGTGGGCACCCGCCTGTCACAGAAGCCGGCGCAGGAAGAAGAGGGAAGGACAACTCCGCGAAAGTGGGAGCGGGTACCTGTCAAATTCAGGTACCCGCTCCCCCTCCCTCCCCAAAGGTCCGCAGTCTCTGGTCATCCCTTGTACTGTCTGCAGTCTCTGGTCATCTGTACTATGTCCCCGGTATTTTCCCTGTACTATGTCCACAGGTCATCTTTAAAAAAATGTGTATGACTTGCGAGCCAAACTATATAATTAGAGATGAGCGACGTATTCAAAAATTCGATTCGACTGATTCGGCGAATTCGTGGAAAAATTTCGATTCGAGTCGAATATATTCGCTGCGAATTTAACTTATAAAAGGGTGTTTCTAGGTTTCAGAGAGCCTTTATATTAGTGCAGAACACTGTACCTTTAATTTAAATGCCCTTGGAGTCTGCTGGGGAAGAGAAATAATACTGACAGTCAGTATGACATGCAGATGAGTGCTGTCGATCTTAGAATCACCGCACACTTCACTCATTTGGGCAGTCACGGGGCCAAAACCAGAGTGTGGAGCCACAGTGTGGCGGTGGAGGCAGCAGCAATGGGAGGCCATACAGCACCCTATGACAAAAATGGAAACCACCAGCAGTGTGAGGAGACCTGAAAGTGGCACATGGCAGAGTGTGGCGATGGAGACAGCAGCAATGGGAGGCCGTACAGGGACCCATGACACACTCTGGACCTGGCAGCAGCATGAGGAGGCGGTACAGGGGCCCATGACAGATTACGGGCCTGGCAGCAGCATGAGGAGTCGGTACGGGGGCCCATGACACACTCTGGACCTGGCAGCAGCATGAGGAGGCGGTACAGGGGCGCATGACAGATTACGAGCCTGGCAGCAGCAACTTGGACAGGAGGACGTTCAGCTTCTGCACCGTCGGGTGCGTGCTCGCAAACTGTTGTCTCTTGGAAACGGATTCCAAGAAAGACTGCTGACGGATTCCGTGAAGAGGAGTAGCAGGAGAAGGAGCATCTGAACGAGCGGAATATGCCAACAAGTGACAACAGGGGCCCATGACAGATTACGGGCCTGGCAGCAGCATGAGGAGTCGGTACGGGGACCCATGGCAGATTAGGGGCCTGGCAGCAGCTATGGGAGGCCCGTAATCTGCCAGCACCCTATGACAAAAAATGGAACACACCAGCATTGTGAGGAGACCTGAAAATGGCACATGGCAGAGTGTGGCGATGGAGACAGCAGCAATGGGAGGCCGTACAGGGACCCATGAGAGACTCTGGACCTGGCAGCAGCATGAGGAGGCGGTATAGGGGCCCATGGCAGATTAGGGGCCTGGCAGCAGCTATGGGAGGCCCGTAATCTGCCAGCACCCTATGACAAAAAATGGAACACACCAGCAGTGTGAGGAGACCTGAAAGTGGCACATGGCAGAGTGTGGCCATGGAGACAGCAGCAATGGGAGGCCGTACAGGGACCCATGAGAGACTCTGGACCTGGCAGCAGCATGAGGAGGCGGTATAGGGGCCCATGGCAGATTAGGGGCCTGGCAGCAGCTATGGGAGGCCCGTAATCTGCCAGCACCCTATGACAAAAAATGGAACACACCAGCAGTGTGAGGAGACCTGAAAGTGGCACATGTTTGGGGCATGATTCATGGCGGATTTAGTCAGTTGTGTCAGGAACTGGTGGTTTGAAATCCAGACTAATCCACGCATGATTCATTTTCACAAACGTGAGTCTCCCCACACTTTGGGTGGACAGTCGTGTCCTCCGCGGAGTTACAATACCTCCTGCCGCACTAAACACGCGCTCCGATGCCACGCTACTGGCCGGGCATGACAGCCTTTCAAGGGCAAATTCAGCTAGTTGGGGCCAAAGGTCAAGTTTCGTTGCCCAGTAGTCAAGGGGATTGTCTACCTCGGTTGGCAGGGTGCTGTCCAAGTAGGCCTAAGCCTGTTGTTTGAGGTCCTGCTCCAGGTCCACCTGCTGCTGCTGCTGCGGCTGGTTAGTAGTTTCCTCACTGCGCTGGTGAAGAAAGCTACTCATCATCGACTGCAGACTGAGGCAGCCGCTGCTGGTGGAGCTGCCACTGCTCCTACCACCCCACCCCTCCCCTGCTGCCATGGCAGCGGAACGCGAGCGCACTGGGCCCACAGTGTCTGAGGATGGACGTTGGCGCAGAAAGGCAGAGACCAGCTGACTACATAGGTGGTTTTTATAGTACGTTATTTTGGCCTCCCTCTCAGCAGGTGTGAAAAAGGCCACCATTTTTGAACGGTAGCGAGGGTCCAACAAGGTGGACAGCCAAAAGTCATCCCTCTGTCTGATGGTTATTATTTGGCTGTCGCTACGCAAGCAAGCGAGCATGCTATGGGCCATTTGTGCCAAGGAATGCGAGGGACTCCCTGCCTCCATCTCCACAGCATACTGCCACGGTGCGTCTGGGTCCTCTGTCTCCTCCTCCTCCTCCTCTACCAGATGCTCCTGCTCCTCCACTCCTGTCCGCTGAGTGGAAAAACCACCCATTTCACTCAATAATTCCTGAGCACCAATGTCCTCCTCTACCTCCTCCTCTTCTTCCTGTCCGGCCCCCACAGGGGTCATGTGGCGTTGAGATCTGTGCGCCACGTCTACCGCACCCTGACCAGCCATTGTTAACAGCATTTGTTCCAGGACGTGCAACAGAGGAATGACGTCGTTCATCCCATAGTCCTGCCGACTCACGAATAGCGTGGCCTACTCAAAGGGCCTGAGCAAGCGGCAGGTGTCACGCATGAGCTGCCAATGGCTGACATCTAAGTTACACATGGGAGTACCTTTATCCGCTTTTAACATCAGGAAATCTGTGATGGCCTTTCGCTGTTCGTAAAGGCGGTCTAACATATGTAGGGTTGAATTCCACCTTGTTGCAACGTCACAGCATGAGGAGTCGGGTACGGGGGCCCATGGCAGATTACGGGCCTGGCAGCAGCAATGGGTTAGGCCCGTAATCTGCCAGCACCCTATGACAAAAAATGGAACACACCAGCAGTGTGAGGAGACCTGAAAGTGGCACATGGCAGAGAGTGTGGCGATGGAGACAGCAGCAATGGGAGGCCGTACAGGGACCCATGAGAGACTCTGGACTGGATTGGCAGCAGCATGAGGAGGCGGTATAGGGCCCATGGCAGATTAGGGGCCTGGCAGCAGCTATGGGAGGCCCGTAATCTGCCAGCACCTATGACAAAAATGGAACACACCAGCAGTGTGAGGAGACATGAAAGTGGCACATGGCAGAGTGTGGCCTATGGGACAGCAGCAATGAGGAGGCCGGTACAGGGGCCCATGAGAGACTTAGGGGCCTTGGCAGCAGCTATGAGGAGGCGGTAATCTATAGGCACCCATGGCAGATTAGGGGCCTGGCAGCAGCTATAGGAGGCCCGTAATCTGCCAGCACCCTATGACAAAAAATGGAACACAGCAGCAGTGTGGGAGACCCGTAAAGTGGCACATGGCTGGACGATGGAGACTCTGCATGGACCTGGCAGCAGCATGAGGAGGCGGTATAGGGGCCCATGGCAGATTAGGGGCCTGGCAGCAGCTATGGGAGGCCCGTAATCTGCCAGCACCCTATGACAAAAAATGGAACACACCAGCAGTGTGAGGAGACCTGAAAGTGGCACATGGCAGAGTGTGGCGATGGAGACAGCAGCAATGGGAGGCCGTACAGGGACCCATGAGAGACTCTGGACCTGGCAGCAGCATGAGGAGGCGGTATAGGGGCCCATGGCAGATTAGGGGCCTGGCAGCAGCTATAGGAGGCCCGTAATCTGCCAGCACCCTATGACAAAAAATGGAACACACCAGCAGGTGTGAGGGAGAAACCATGGCAGAGTGTGGCATGGCAGCAGCAATGGGACCCCCCCCCGTACACCCATGAGAGCTCCTGGCAGCAGCAGCATGAGGAGGCGGTACATAAGGGGCCCATGGCAGATTAGGGGCCTGGCAGCAGCTATGGGAGGGCCCGTAATCTGCCAGCACCCTATGACAAAAAATGTAACACACCAGCAGTGTGTGAGGAGACCTGAAAGTGGCACATGGCAGAGTGTGGCGATGGAGACAGCAGCAATGGGAGGCCGTACAGGGACCCATGAGAGACTCTGGACCTGGCAGCAGCATGAGGAGGCGGTATAGGGGCCCATGGCAGATTAGGGGCCTGGCAGCAGCTATGGGAGGCCCGTAATCTGCCAGCACCCTATGTCAAAAAATTCAACACACCAGCAGTGTGTGAGGAGACCTGAAAGTGGCACATGGCAGAGTGTGGCGATGGGAGACAGCAGCAATGGGAGGCCGTACAGGGACCCATGAGAGACTCTGGACTTGGCAGCAGCATGAGGAGGCGGTATAGGGGGCCCATGGCAGATTAGGGGCCTGGCAGCAGCTATAGGAGGCCCGTAATCTGCCAGCACCCTATGTCAAAAAATGGAACACCACCCAGCAGTGTGAGGAGACCTGAAAGTGGCACATGCACATGAGACACTGTGGACCTGGCAGCAGCATGAGGAGGCGGTACAGGGGCCCATGGCAGATTAGGGGCCTGGCAGCAGCTATGGGAGGCCCGTAATCTGCCAGCACCCTATGACAAAAAATGGAACACACCAGCAGTGTGAGGAGACCTGAAAGTGGCACATGGCAGAGTGTGGCGATGGAGACAGCAGCAATGGGAGGCCGTACAGGGACCCATGAGAGACTCTGGACCTGGCAGCAGCATGAGGAGGCGGTATAGGGGCCCATGGCAGATTAGGGGCCTGGCAGCAGCTATAGGAGGCCCGTAATCTGCCAGCACCCTATGACAAAAAATGGAACACACCAGCAGTGTGAGGAGACCTGAAAGTGGCACATTGGCAGTGTGAGACACTGTGGACCTGGCAGCAGCACCATGAGGAGGCGGTACAGGGGCCCCATGGCAGATTAGGGGCCTGGCAGCAGCTATGGGAGGCCCGTAATCTGCCAGCACCCTATGTCAAAAAATTCAACACACCAGCAGTGTGAGGAGACCTGAAAGTGGCACATGGCAGAGTGTGGCGATGGAGACAGCAGCAATGGGAGGCCGTACAGGGACCCATGAGAGACTCTGGACCTGGCAGCAGCATGAGGAGGCGGTATAGGGGCCCAGGCAGATTAGGGGCCTGGCAGCAGCTATGGGAGGCCCGTAATCTGCCAGCACCCTATGACAAAAAATGGAACACACCAGCAGTGTGAGGAGACCTGAAAGTGGCACATGGCATGAGACACTGTGGACCTGGCAGCAGCATGAGGAGGCGGACAGTACATGGGGGCCCATGGCAGATTTAGGGGCCTGGGCCAGCAGCTATGGGAGGCCCGTAATCTGCCAGCACCCTATGTCAAAAAATGGAACACACCAGCAGTGTGAGGAGACCTGAAAGTGGCACATGGCATGGCGATGAGACAGCAGCAACGTACAGTGGGTGGACCTGGCAGCAGCATGAGGAGGCGGTACAAGGGGCCCATGGCAGATTAGGGGCCTGGCAGCAGCTATGGGAGGCCCGTAATCTGCCAGCACCCCTATGACAAAAAATGGAACACACCAGCAGAGTGTGTGAGGAGACCTGAAAGTGGCACATGGCAGAGTGTGGCGATGGAGACAGCAGCAATGGGAGGCCGTACAGGGACCCATAGAGACTCTGACCTGGCAGCAGCATGAGGAGGCGGTATAGGGGCCCATGGCAGATTAGGGGCCTGGCAGCAGCTATAGGAGGCCCGTAATCTGCCAGCACCCTATGACAAAAAATGGATAACACACCAGCAGTGTGAGGAGACCTGAAAGTGGCACATGGCATGAGTGGCACTGTGAGACAGCAGCAATGGGAGGGCAGCAGCATGAGAGGAGCTGCCGGGTATACAGGGGCCCATGGCAGATTAGGGGCTGGCAGCAGCTATGGAGAGGCCCGTAATCTGCCAGCACCCTATGACAAAAAATGGAACACACCAGCAGTGTGAGGAGACCTGAAAGTGGCACATGGCAGAGTGTGGCGATGGAGACAGCAGCAATGGGAGGCCGTACAGGGACCCATGAGAGTACTCTGGACCTGGCAGCAGCATGAGGAGGCGGTATAGGGGCCCATGGCAGATTAGGGGCCTGGCAGCAGCTATGGGAGGCCCGTAATCTGCCAGCACCCTATGACAAAAAATGGAACACACCAGCAGTGTGAGGAGACCTGAAAGTGGCACATGGCATGAGACACTGTGGACCTGGCAGCAGCATGAGGAGGCGGTACAGGGGCCCATGGCAGATTAGGGGCCTGGCAGCAAGCTATAGAGGAGGCCCGTAATCTGCCAGCACCCTATGACAAAAAATGGAACACACCAGCAGTGTGTGAGGAGACCTGAAAGTGGCACATGGCAGAGTGTGGCGATGGAGACAGCAGCAATGGGAGGCCGTACAGGGACCCATGAAGAGACTCTGGACCTGGCAGCAGCATGAGGAGGCGAGTAAAGGGGCCCATGGCAGATTAGGGGCCTGGCAGCAGCTATGGGAGGCCCGTAATCTGCCAGCACCCTATGACAAAAAAATGGAACACACCAGCATGTGAGGAGACCTGAAAGTGGCACATGGCATGAGACACTGTGGACCTGGCAGCAGCATGAGGAGGCGGTACAGGGGCCCATGGCAGATTAGGGGCCTGGCAGCAGCTATGGGAGGCCCGTAATCTGCCAGCACCCCTATGACAAAAAATGGAACACACCAGCAGTTGTGAGGAGACCTGAAAGTGGCACATGGCAGAGTGTGGCGATGGAGACAGCAGCAATGGGAGGCCGTACAGGGACCCATGAGAGACTCTGGACCTGGCAGCAGCATGAGGAGGCGGTATAGGGGCCCATGGCAGATTAGGGGCCTGGCAGCAGCTATAGGAGGCCGTAATCTGCCAGCATGACAAAAATGTGGAACACACAGCAGTGTGAGGAACCTGAAAGTGGCCACATGGCATGAGACACTGTGGACCTGGCAGCAGCATGAGGAGGCGGTACAGGGGCCCATGGCAGATTAGGGGCCTGGCAGCAGCTATGGGAAGGCCCGTAATCTGCCAGCACCCTATGACAAAAAATGGAAACACACAGCAGTGTGAGGAGACCTGAAAGTGGCACATGGCATGAGACAGCACTGTGGACCTGGCAGCAGCATGAGGAGGCGGTACATGGAGGGGCCCCATGGCAATTAGGGGCCTGGCAGCAGCTATGGGAGGCCCGTAATCTGCCAGCACCCTATGACAAAAAATGGAACACACCCAGCAGTGTGAGGAGACCTGAAAGTGGCACATGGCATGAGGACACTGTGGACCTGGCAGCAGCATGAGGAGGCGGTACAGGGGCCCATGGCAGATTAGGGGCCTGGCAGCAGCTATGGGAGGCCCGTAATCTGCAAGCACCCTATGACAAAAAATGGAACACACCACAGTGTGAGGAGACCTGAAAGTGGCACATGGCAGAGTGTGGCGATGGAGACAAGCAGCAATTGGGAGGCCGTACAGGGACCCATGAGAGACTCTGGACCTGGCAGCAGCATGAGAGGCGGTATAGGGGCCATGGCAGATTAGGGGCCTGGGCAGCAGCTATAGGAGGCCCGTAATCTGCCAGCACCCTATGGACAAAAAATGGAACACCACAGCAGTGTGAGGAGACCTGAAAGTGGCACATGGCATGAGACACTGTGGGAACCTGGCAGCAACATGAGGAGGCGGTACAGGGGCCCATGGTGTAATTAAGGGACCTGGCAGCAAGCTATGGGAGGGGTTATAAAGGGGTAATCTCCAGCGACCCTATTATGACAAAAAATGGGAACACTAACAGCAGTAGGGTGGGTGAGGAGGACCTAAGGGAAATGATGGCACATGTGGGGGCAGAGTGGGTGGCGATGGAGGACGAGCAGCAATGGGAGGCCGTACAGGTAGGGACCCATGATGAAGACGCGGACCTGGGACATCATGGTGGAGTGCGGTGGTATAGGGGCCCATGGGCAGGATGATATTGGGGGCCTGGCAGCAGCTATGGGAGGCCCGTAATCTGCCAGCACCCTATGACAAAAAAATGGTATTTTTTTGGGGGAAACACACCAGCATGATGTGAGGAGACCTGAAAGTGGCACATTGGCATGGGGGGACAGCTGGGGACCTGGCAGATGCATGGGTAGGTGAGGGTACAGGGGCCCATGGAGATTTAGGGGGGGGCCGGGAAGGGGCAGCAGCTATGGGGAGGGTAAAAGGCCAGTAAAAAATGGAACACACGATTTTGGTGTATAAGATGAATCCGTGTGAACATGGCAGATGTGGCGATGAGGGAAGGGATATGGTATACAGGGGACCCTAATGGAACTCTGGACCTTGATGGAGATATGAGCAGTGGGTATGGCAAAAGGGGCCTGGTGTGCATATAAGGGAAATTGAGACACTATGAGTGTGGAACCTGGCAGACAGCATGATGGAGGCCGTTATAGGGGCCCATGGCGAGACTCATGGGCCTGGCAGCAGCTGATAGGCGTTTAAGGGGCCTGGCAAATTATGTGGGGCCTGGCAAGCAGCTATGGGAGGCCCGTAATCTGCCAGCACCCTATGACATAAATAATGGAACACCAGCAGTGTGTTTGTATAATATGGAGACCTGAATGGAGTGGCACATGGGGGAAGGGATGTGAGCGAAGATTAGCAGCAAGTAGGCGTTTCAGCGGAGTACAGCACTCTGGATGGAGGTATGTACAGGGCCCATGCTAGATTAAGAGCTTTTGGACTCTGGCACCCTTGCAGCAATGGATACACACAGGTGTGATGGGGGTAATAATGGCTGCCATGTGGCAGATGGTATAGGGGCGGTAATGGGCCATGGCAGTTTGGCAGCAGCTAATGGATGATGAGTGGTGTAAGTTGCCATCACCACTAAGTGGACAAAAGGTTGAGAACACACCAGCAGTGTGAGGAGTACCTGAAAGTGGCACATGTTTGAATGTGGGATGGGAGACAGCAGCACATTGGGAGGCCGTACAGGGACCCCATGAGAGACTCTGGACCTGGGGCAGCAGCATGAGGAGGCGGTATAGGGGCCCATGGCAGATTTAGGGGCCTGCAGCACTATGGAGGCCCGTAATCTGCCAGCACCCTAGTGACCACAAAAAATGGAACACACCAGCAGTGTGAGGAGACCTGAAAGTGGCACACATGGCATGAGAACACTGTAAGGACCTGGCAGCAGCATGAGGAGGGCGATTACAGGGGGCCCATGGCAGATTAGGGGCCTGGCAGCAGCTAGGGAGGCCCGTAATCTGCCAGCACCCATATGACAAAAAATGGAACACACAGCAGTGTGAGGAGACCTGAAGTGGCACATGGCAGAGTGGGTGGCGATGGAGACAGCAGCAATTGCGAGGCCGTACAGGGAAACATGAGAGACTCTGACCTGTGCAGAAGCATGAGGAGGGCGGTATAGGGGCCCATTGGCAGATTAGGGGCCTGGCAGCAGCTATGAGGGAGGCCCGTATATCTGCCAGCAACCCTATGACAAAAAATGGAACATTGTTCCAAAGCAGTGTGAGGTGAGACCTGAAAGTGGCACATGGCAGAGTGTGCATGGAGACAGCCGCACAATGGGAGGCCGTACAGGCACCCATGAAGACTCTGGACCTGGCAGCAAGGAGGAGGCCGGGTATAGGGGGCCCATGGCAGATTAGGTAGGGGCCTGGCAGCAGCTATGGGAGGGCCCGTAAT